AAAGGAGCATTTTGATCGTTGTGAGCGCTTAGTGGAACGCACCCTAAAGGAGCATTTTGATCGTTGTGAGCGCTTAGTGGAACGCACCCATAATGTTATTACTATTATTATTACCAATAAAAAAAAATATTTAAAATCCTTTTTTTTTCTAATAAATTTAACTTTAAATTTCAAATGTGTGATCGCTCAAAATTCTTTGATTAATGCTTTACTTAAGGTGTATACCTAAAGAACTTTGAATTTTTCAGCTTTTTACACAAAATTATAGCAGCATAACCTAGAAAATGATTCGCAATAGTGGTCTTAGAAAAGTTGTTGAAAACTTTGTAAAAAAGAGAAGACAGTACTCTAACAGATTTGTAGGAAGTCTTTCAAACCATGAGTTACAAAATAAGAAATTATCAGAGGAAGAAGATATGGTAAAAGATATGGTTAGTTAGAAATAACTGTAATTGTATTTTTCTTACTTTTTACTATCATCTTATTAAATTTATCGTTTATTACAGCCTAATTTAACTATAAATCCGTATAAAAAAGAAAAACAGCAATGTTTATTATGCAAATTAAATATAGAACCAAATTTTAAGAATGTACGATTACTATCACAGTTTCAAAGTAGATACACCGGACGGATTTATGGGAAGCATATAACAGGTTTATGTAAAAATAAACAAGAAAAAGTTGAGAGAGAAATCTTAAAAGCACAAAATGCTGGTAAAATTGTTGGATCTATTATTATTATTAACAATTTATTAAGAAATAAAATGTGTTAATTAGTTAATCACTAATATTATATAAATATTTCTTTTTAAGGTTTAATGGGATATTTTACAAAAGACCCAAGATATGTAAACGACCCACCATTATTTAATCCTGATCGTCCATTAAGACCGCATAAATATTAATATAAAATATATACTTTAGATTTTGTTAACAACAAAATGGTAACTTTAATGTTGTACATAAGGTACTATAATAAAATTAACAAAAAATATATTATATTTCATTATTGAATAAACATGTCATTCTCTGTAGAATAATATACTAAAGTCTTAGGTATACCCAACGATAATAATATTTCTTCCATAGTCATTACCTGTCCTCGTTTACTTTCTAAATCTTTCTGCAATCTTTCCAGAGCATCCTGACAAGCAAATCTCCACTGTTTAATATCCACTTCCAAATCAGTGGAATTGTTCTTAAATTATTTAACAAATTAGTTACATTTAATGTTATTAAAAAATAATAATATAATAATATAGAAGTCTTACCTTTCTACAGTATGAAATTTCGTTTTTTAAGGTCTCTATTTCTTTCTGTTTTTTTATTATTCTCTTTTCTAATTCTTCATAATCATTTGGAAATACGTTTATGCTTTCATCGATTTTCACATTTTCCACATCTTCTTCTTCTTCAACATCGAGTCGTATTTTTTTGGTAAAAATCAATTCTCGTGACAATTTTCGTTTAGTAGTATCCCTATTTGATATTAAATATGAAACTATTTATGTAATAAATATTATATATATATAATTCTTAAGATTTTACTTACACTTGTGATTTATTATTTACTTTTCCCGAACTTTCAACGTTAGACTTATGTTTTGGAGTAATATCAACATTGTTATTAAATAATGAACGAAATGGTTTGTTTACTGCTGGACTATTTTTCAATTTCATATGTGCTGAAGTTGTGGTCTTTTCACACATTTTGTAATAATTAATTTGTTATTGTTTATTTAACACATAACTTATTAGAAACTAATACTGACTTGATGTAATTCAAATAAAATAATTAATATTATATGAAATTAATTCTAAATTACAGATCTAAGAAAATATACTTGTTTCTGAATCCACAAGTCAATTTAATTTTAAATAAATTACGGATAGGTTAAATAACGAATAGTCTGCGTCCAATCAGCGTTGAGTGACATACAGCGACATTAAAACGCGCATTCAATCTGTTGTGTTTTATTCTAACCTCTAAACGATATTTATGTCGGTTTTCCTCTGCTGATAAAAATATTAATTAAAAACGTTATTTAGTGAAATATTAAATATTACAAAAGTTTAACATTTATTTTGTAAGTATATAAATCTTATTATATTGGTTAATAATTTTTGTAATTATATTTCAGAATAACATTGTGATATTTGAAGGTTATTCAAATTCCGTGTGAATTAGATATTTTTTCTTATTAAATATAATATTATTTCTTATAGTTATATAAATTCTATTCTTTATATGTAATAATAACAATAATAATTTTTTTCAGTAATTATGGATATCAGACCAAATAATACAATTTACATAAATAATTTAAATGAGAAGATAAAGAAAGAAGAATTAAGGAAATCTTTATATGCTATATTTTCTCAATTTGGACAGATATTAGATATTGTAGCACTAAAAACTTTAAAAATGCGTGGTCAGGCATTTGTAATTTTTAAAGAAATAGCAAGTGCGACGAATGCTTTAAGATCTATGCAAGGGTTTCCTTTTTATGATAAACCAATGGTATGTATGTTATTTAGATATCTGTAAAAAAAAAGAAACTTTATTATATATTATAATTGTTTTATATTTTCAGAGGATACAGTATGCAAAGACAGATAGTGACTTAATTGCTAAAATGAAAGGTACTTTCGCAGAACGTCCTAAAAAACCAAAACGTGTACTACCAGCTGCGGATGAGGAAGCAAAACGTGCAAAGAAACGTGCTAAAGAACAAGCGAAACATTCACAGCAGATTGGATATCATCCTGGAGTACCACAACATCCAGGATTAGTTAATACAGCCGTACCTGAACAACCACCGAATCAAATTTTGTTCCTTACAAATCTTCCTGACGAAACTAGTGAAATGATGTTATCTATGCTTTTCAATCAATTTCCTGGTTTTAAAGAAGTTCGCTTAGTGCCAAATCGGCATGATATTGCTTTCGTAGAGTTTGAAAATGAGGTTCAATCGGGTGCTGCCAAAGATGCACTTCAAGGATTTAAAATTACACCTTCGCATGCGATGAAAATATCTTTTGCTAAGAAATAATTACAAGGACTTTAATCTTAAAATAATTGATAAAAATAAAAAACACGTGTAAACATTAAATATAGGAATAATGAAAAAATTATCAAACTGGATATGTAGTTATATTTCAGTAATTTTTATACAATACAGTTTCTTGAACATAAGAAGTATTTATAATTATTAACACGTCAGTGCTGATCGACAGCTTTCCGTTTAGTTTAGGCCGCGTCAGTCGCCGGTGACTAACATTCAACTGTTTTTTCAAAAATAAGTAACGCGCGTTCAACGTGTTAATACTATATTTATTATTTACAGTAAATATGTAAAGACCAATCATTCTGCAAACCGTATTTAAAACATTTTCCGTAGAATGATAGAGATATATACGATTTTATTTAAGAATATCTTTTTTTGATGATGATTTTTTCTTATGTATTATAATGTTATATTTTAACCTTTTGTTTGCGGCGTGATCTCGGAGGAATTCATCAATATATACCACGCGATTATCACATGTCAGTCGCTACGATTGATCGTCCACTGACTAGTGACCAAAAAAGTACTCGGAAATTTAAAATACTATTCTTAGGGTTTAAAAAAATAAAAATTGCCAATAAATTAAAATATCTATTTTTTTATCCATTTTAAGCAACTTTTTAAGCTACTATAATTTACTTAACTTAAATTGTAAATTTTAGGTGTTATAGTAAAAAAATGCAGAAGGCATAAATTTACGCCTTTCGTATATATTGATGGATACGTAAAAGCGTATATTTACGTCTTTCGTATATATTAATAGACATATACGCCTTTAATAGTCAAAAGATTAGTAATTCAATAATTAAGCCGTTTATTTTGAAATTGACCTAAGTCTATCTTTCTTTTTTTCTGCAAAATGCTTTTCATAACAGCATTCTCAGGTGGTACATGTTACTAAAATTAACAACAAACAATTGACAAATGGACTTAAGCTACTTTCAAAATAAAGGGCCTAACTATACATATAAGAAATTATGAATTTTACCACAAAATAAGATAATTTAAATAGAAGAGTATAGAAATGTTTTATAATTTTTGATCTAATATAGTGCCATCTAGATTTAGTAAAGCACGTTCTGTTAAGATGCAACAATATACAAAAATGCAATAAAAAATACTTTTTATTATAATTAATGTGCTTTCTTAACAAAAAATTCATGTACTTTTTTTAAATATTATCATTGAAATTTAATTTTAATATAAATTTGTAACAATACATGTATTTTTTTAATAAATTAGCTAATAAGAAAATCTGTTTTACCTTTAATAATTATCGAGCGAACATTGCATCAAACCTTTGCATCGCGTTCAAAAATGTAACTGCAGTTAGCAATCTTGAATAAACTGTAATCAATGCTTACTATTTTGTGAGATGATACCATCTCTGGTTATATGATTCAGTGATACTGTAGTTGTTCTGTCATTTGGTGACGCTCGCTTACTTTACTTTTTCTATTCTTATATTAGATTTTGGTCCTGTCAACAATTATTTATTATTTGTATTGATTTTTATAAATTTAGTCATAAGAGATTAAGGATTTTATTTTTATTTTTTATTTTCTACGTAATAAGTCGAAAATATGCCGGTGTTTCACACAAAGACTATAGAAAGTATTCTTGAACCTGTCGCACAGCAGGTAAGATATTTTATGACAAATGATTACATTTAATCTTTTTTTCACAAATTTTTATTTAAATATTTTTTTTAAATCATTTTATATATATAAAGATATATATATACACCTGTCTATATTTAACACAAATGAAAATTATATATATATATACATTTAAAGATATATGTATACGTAAAAAGAATATATAAGCCTGGAGCTATGCGTTGTCTATGCATCCAATTTCCGGTATATCCTCCAACCTACGTTTCTTCTTCGCCTTCATCCATTATCGTTCGCTTATCGTTCTACGGATGCCTCCTTTTCGCTCGGAGTAAGAAGAAGAAGAAG